AACGGTGTAAACGGTGTAGACGGTGTAAACGGTGTACCGAAAAATCATGGACACTGATTGCGCCAGCAATGCTATTTTTGTTTAGCCGGAAGATGCTGGAAGCGTTTGTTTGCAGTTCAAGCAAATGCAAAATTCAACAAGTCCGACCTTGTCAGGGCTTTGATTGCACAGATGTTCTTTCTCACCAAATGATTTGCCTGGGCAAGGGGTAGAAAGGAAGGCAAAAGAAAAAGTACTGGATACAGTACTGCTTGAAGAAAACTGTTTTGCAAGATTGTGTGATTTTTTTTGCCAGGTGACAACCCTGATACAACAAGAAAAAGGTCTCACATTGAGGCTGCTGCTGAGGCTCTTGCTGATGGGGTCCTATGCTCAGGGATCTAGAATTTTGTTGCCCTAGTTTGGGGTACAAGTACAGGTTGGATGGCATTGTACGACCTAGTCATTCGTGCTGAGGTTCCTGCGACAACAGTTCATCGTATCAGTCGTGACGGAGACGGAGACCATGAAACAGATGGACCCCAAAAAAAGAAAAGAAAATTGACCCAGAATGTGAACCGTGATTTGATGCGAAGTTTCAGACATTACGGAGTTGGTTGGCAAGTTCCCATAGAGACCTACAGATACGTCCAAGGTGCCACTTCTCTTGATGTTCACTACCTTTCTCCAGAGAAGCTGCTGACTTTTCTCATTGAGAATCACCCTGCTGTTCTTTTTGGTGAGCCAGACATGTCCAAAGTGAAGTCCATCCTTCAAGGCTTCTGGGAGGGCTACCGGAAGTTTCATGACACCCATTGCGTGTTCTCCCAGTTCGGTCGCAATGAGATCCATCGCGTGATACCTTTAGCGATCCATGGAGATGAGGGAAGAGGTCGCAGACGGTCTTCGACCACCGTTGTGTGTTTGGAGGCCATTTTGGGGTTGAAGGGTCATGTTGGGCCTTGTTCCACGTGTGTGTGCCGTCAGGGCTTTGTCGATGGCAAATGGATGTTGGGGCAGAGCATCCATCTCTGAAGACCATGCGATCGAACCTGAAAGGAGCTTCAATGATCCAACACTGGCCTTTATTTGTTCTGCCAGGTACACTTCACAGGTTTTACAAACCCTTGACATTCAAACTGCTGGAAGAGATTGCGACCATTTTGAACAGATGTTTCTACCACGGGGTCAATGCGAGAGGAGAGAAGTGGCATCTGGCCATCATTGGATCAAAGGGTGACCTGAAGTGGTTTTCCAAGATTTGTTGTCTGACTCGTGGCTACGAGCGTCAGGGCATTGTCAACAACATTCCGATGTGTCATCATTGTTTAGCGGGGGGGCCAGGGCTACCACCAGAAGATGTAGTACAAGAAACCCCGGCTTGGTGCAACACTATTTACACACAACGCCCTTGGAGCATTGTAAAACCACCTGCATTGCGTGATCTTCCCTTTGACTCCAACATTCCGGAGGCCCTGTACAGGCACGATCTATTCCACGTGCTGAAATTAGGCTTGTTTCGCGACCTCACAGGGTCGATTGTATTCTTGTTTTTGAGGTGGGACGTTTTTGGGGCAGCTGGCAAAGTCGAAGACAAACTCAACAGTGCATTTGGAAGCTTTACTTTGTTTTGCAAAGCTGAGGGGCACTCACCGGCCCTACGATCCTTTACGCCTCGGCTGTTCAACTACAGTAGTAGACGGAGCTTTCCTTGGATGAACATAAAGGCAAGCGACTGCACATTGGTCATGAGGTGGCTTCGCGTGCTCACAATTGGCGTCAAGACCGAAGGCAGTCATTATTGGCAGATCCCCATTCTGGATGTGATTCATGGTGTGCTTTGTATGGGCCTTGAGTTCTATAGGATCCTCACCACTCATGGACTTTGGCTGACAAGGGCATGTGCTGCCACTGCCTATGAAAAGGGCCAGGCTGTTATTACCGGGTACAGCTGGCTTGCAAATTGGACCATGATGAACCACTTCAACTTATTTTCTTTGAAACCGAAGTTGCACTTCTACAAACATGTGGTTCTGGACCTAAAACTTCAGTTGGACAGGGGAAATGTTCGTGTGCTGTCGCCTATTTCGTGGGAATGTTCCCAGAACGAGGACATGATTGGCCTCATTAGTCGTCTGTCCAGAAGGGTGGATTCAAGAGTGGTAACAAGACGATGCCTCCAGTTTTTTCTGTTGAAGGCTCATGTCTTATTGAAGCGGCACCACCCAGGCTTTTGAAGAAAACATTGTGGTTGCTGGGGGGTGATTGGGATGGAACAGGTGTGAGTGCATGAAAGTCTGGTCCAATGTATGCATTATCAGATCCACTGGAATCACAATAGAACCAAAAAGCGTTCTTTTGGGCAAACGGCGAAACTTGGATGAAACGACGAAATAAATTGTTGTTTCATGTTCGAGCTTTTTTTTCAACCGCCAGGATTCCCTAGGTATAGAGTGTTTTTTTCATGGTTTCTATGCCAACGACATGCTGTTTTGTTGTGACTCTCTCAAAAGCGCCCTCTCAGGTGGTTGGTGTTTGGGGATGTGAGCAAATATCGCCTACATTTGGATACATTTGGTGATGGATGTAGGATGATGTAGGTCAATATTGACTTCGATGGATCGTTTGGGGTATTGATGCTAGAAAGTGAGTGACTCACACAACCTTCTCTTTTTCATGTCGACTCTTGGATCATGGAGTGAGGATCCGTGGATCATGTGGAGCGCCCCCCACCCCAAATCTGAAGAACTGACCGACCCCTTCTTCTAAATGGTCTCCGCCACGAACTCCTGGCTTCCTCCCTCCCTTCCCCACATCCAGGGGGCCCCGTGTCCTACCCAGGGGCCGTGTGCACCGAGGGGAAGGCCAGGGTGACACTCCAGAGCTCCGGATGTCTGGTCACAAGCCTCCGCAAGGAGAGTGGAACCAGGTGAACATCGCCTGATACCCGACCGCCCCCTCCGGTCTCGGTTCGATGGTTATGGTGGTTGAGTGCCAGGGGGGCCTAACCACCGAACCTGAGGGTATGGGCGAAGCCTAGGGATAGATCCCCAGTGGTCACTGCCGTCTTTCAACCACCCTTTCGCAGGTTCTGGCTATGTCAGTCGTCACGTGAGATGACCAACTTCCGATTTGGTTGTGTCTGGATCACCGGCAGCTACGAAGAGTCCCCCAACAGACCAGAACAGGCCCTCCGCTCCAGCAGAATATACGACAAGCCACGGCAATCTGAAGGGTCAACCGCAACCAAACACCACCTGTGTGGGACAGGAACCTCTATGCAACCCTGCATCTTTTTCCCCCGGAAAACACACAAAAACACCACCCAAATTCATCGGTCATGAGCCCAGGCCGTGCCCCAGGTGGTTCTAACTGATCCCGTTCGATAAATTCCTACAATCAATACCTACAATCCCAGAGGGGTCGTGATTGATGAAATCCGGAGCCATCCTTCTGTGACTGGGAGCGGTCACCTGCCAGGTCATGCAGTACTGGACGCCAGGCGGGTCGCTAGGGCTCCAACGACCTCCGTTTTGAAGGTGGTTAGGGGTTGGAGGGATAGGTGCCAGGGAGGTCCAATGCCCCCTGAGGATGTGGCTGGAGCCCTAGTATAGTGCCAGTGGTGCTTGTGTGTTGCTCATGTGGTGCATCTGTTGTGTCCAGATCAACATAATATCAAAAGCATGCTGGGGTCGGGGCACTAAGCCACCAACTCACTCTGCAAAGTCTCACCTGACTGCATGGTTACAGGAACATACCGGATTCTTAGGGAAAATCCATCTTGCAAATTGGCAGCAATTCTAAAAACTAACTTGTCAAATCCGTTTACGTAACTTATAAGGAGAGACCTTTCATGGCCTAAAACTGTGCACGACAAATACGAGGGGCCGTCTTTTCCCCACTCCTCGCCTCCGGTGCGCCAGGTACGCCAAGCTCAGCGGGATCTGAAAGGCGACCTCATTCAGGATCAGAATGCGTCGGAATCCGTTTCCATGACTCGACCACGACGTCGTGCCATGAAACGCCCAGCAAGGAACCGTCAAGCTGCGTCGGAGGCACAAAGAACGAGGTAGCACGGGAAACGACCGTCTGGGAGCCCGGAGCCCCAATTTGGAAAAGGAGATGATGACAGGCGCATAAAGCAAAGTGTTTAACCTGGTCCAGAATGAAGGTCCAGCAATCTACTGTATACTTAAGTGTTTTCACAACCCTTCCCTCCTCCTGTCCATACCGATTCGCAGCAGCTGTCTTCACCCGTCCAGTCCAGCTGGGTCTGACCGGCGTGGTACCTGTCACCGTCCATGGCTTGTCCTGCACGTGCATGCGGATCAAATGACCTCCAATTGGTTCGAGGAATCGGCGGAATCGGTCCGGGCTGGTGAACCAGAAGTTCTGCAGCAAGCAGCCAAGTGAATAGTCAGTTCAGTGACACTCATTCGGATGAACACGTACAAAGAACACCCAAAGGTCAATGACTTTGTCACTTTGTCACACCCAAGAAACACACTGGTCTTCCACTCTTGGACCCGCTCCTACTCTCGGACCCACGTCGCAGGGTGTCGGTCTACTCGCACTTTTGTGTGGCGCTGAACAGGTCGAGCCGTCTCGGGTCCGGACGAGGGGACTTGGGCCGTGTGGCGCAAATGACCAGGGCGGCTTCTTGCAAATATCCCCAGGTGGTCAAGCCCATCAGCACGCCTCACTTGCTTCGCTTTGACATGACATGATGGACCACGCGCGCGGCGGTTGAACGGTGGAACCGTGAGTGTGGACGGCACTTCAGCCCTCTGCGGAAGGTACATGGACCCTGCAACCCCAAGGACCTTCTGAGAGACTGAAGGAATCATGTCATACCATACCCAAACGATCCATGTAAGTAAAGGTGTCCCACATTCACCACCCAAAACCACCAGTCATGTAGGCCATATATGTGCCACCATGGAATGGTGTAAAATCAAGTGGTGCAAATGTTATCAACTGTTCTTTGAGGTTGATGAATGCCTGATAAAAAGGAGCAACCTAACGGTTCAAGTAGTACATTACAGCCAATTTGCAAAAAATATAGTCAACATGCAGGGCATGCCCAGAATTGCAGGGGTCTGTGTTGACTTTGGGGGTATTCATTTCTTCGTGAACACAGATTCAGCTCGTGGATTTACTGAGGGATTCGTAGATAAATTAATACTGCAGTGATGTTCTCACAATACCAAGTGAGCAGGATCTTGTTTAGGATCTCGGTTCAGCAACAGAACACCACCTCTTCTTGCGCTGCCCAGAACATGCAGGTGAAATGTTGCCTAATCCACTGGTTCTATCATATCCACCGAGCATTTCAGTGGCCTTCAACACTGATCCCCCTTACATCTAATTATACATTGTATAGCATTTAATGTCTAATTGCCGTCCCTCTAAGGGATCGGGACACAACAAGAACTCACTAACTCACTCACCCACTCATTGACTAACTCAAAGGTACCCTACAAAGTAGACTTACTAGGACTTGCTTGAGGAACCAGGAAAATAATGAAAACACCCATATGGGTTTGTATTTTTTTAAGGTTCCCGGGCCGGGATGTTTGACTATGGGGTATGCTCTTTGGGGGTATGCTTCGGGGTATGCTTCGCGCAGTGTGAAGACTAAAGTAGTAGCATTTCCAGAGGGCATCCTTCAGGGTATGCTTCGGGGGTGTGCTTCGGGGTATGCTTCGCCAAAGTCGAACATCCCAGCCCTACATAAACTGGACACCTTAAAAAAAAACAAGCCCAAATATTCTCCAAAGAGAATTCACGCATAGGGAATCAACCCTCACCTTAATGAAGACTCATCTTACAGTCTTACAGTACTTGGATCATGGGATCGTCTTAAGTGTTTGTGTCCAAAGACGATCCCATCATCTTGCAAGTACCCGGAAACACTCGACCCACGTGGCTTCTCTTGGACCCTACGTGGCGCTCGCAGCGTCGGTACACGCGTGTGTACTCCTTCGCTCCGTCACCGAGGGGCCCATGGGCAGCAGGCAAAGGAGGAAGACCCAAAGACGGTCCAAACACTCGGCCAAAAGGCAACAACACCTCAGACCCAGGAGGCCTTACTTGACCCAACAAGCAAGGGCCTAGGGCCTAGGAAGTTTTGGGGCCTTAGGGTCAACAAATGCTTTTTCTGGTTTGGTTTCCTGATGTTTACGAAGAAGGTTTTGGGTCTGAAGGTGACTGTGTCAATTCTTTTTGGATCTTGGCGACCCCCCCTGCCAACTACAGAATGGAGGTATTGGTTCCCAACATATTCCATACATGTATTGTCTGGGGTTAGTCAGGCGAACCTCCTTGGGATGATTTTTGGTCATTGCTCCAACCTCAGATCAAAACCTGGGACTAAACCGACTGGTCACCGGATCCACACCAAGATGATCGTCATTCCACATTCAAACAGAAGCGGATGGCATGGCCTCTGCAAAGACCATTTTCCAAATACTAAACAGGTGCTGAACTCCACTTCCAGTCCCTAGGGATCCAAGTACCTTCTCAGAAGGTGATTGGAGACTATTTATGTAGGCTTGGAGGGCCCAAGTACCTTCTGAGAAGGTATGTGGATCCCTAGGGAGTATAAATTCAGGGAGTGAATGTACGTGACTTTCCTCTTGAATGAGGTCAATTGATAACCCAATCAACTTCTGGCATGACGGCATGACTTGGTGAACCGAAGAGGTTAACAGCGGAGTGTACAACCTGAGCACTCCTGCGGTTCTATGGTAGCATAAGTCAAATAGGCAATCTGCTGCCCTCATCCTTTGGAGGCAGAACAAAGGCCCGCACTCCTTTGAAGAGAGAAGTGCCAAATCTCATTGAAGTGGCAAGCGACCACTCGTTGCAAAAAAACAAATGATCGGCACAGAACAGGCCAAGAACGCAAATTCCTGCACATTCCATGCTTGCATATGCTGGTATACCCAACAATGGGACATGACAAAGACCTTTTTTCATCAGTCTGAATATGACGGTGTGGTCTATAGTAGCCCACATTGTAATAAAAGGCCACTTTAAAGCTTTCAGCTTGGATTTTAAGGACCTGTATCGGCGAAGGTGTGAATACGTTCAAAGGCAACTGGCAGGAATTGCCCCATCTGCAGTACCAGAAAAATAGTATAATTATACTCAGACTTCCTCGTTTTGGGTGGCACAACAATTCTCTCAACCATCTCAAGAACAAAAGACTGGTCGTGTTCAGTATTCCAATCTGAAGAACTGAAGAACTGAAGAACTCCTGTAAATCGACACAATAACGCCTGGATCACACACTCTTGGGCTCCACATGGCGATCACACTCTCTTCGCTATACATGTCTCCCACATGTCATCCACATCATTAGGTCCGACTCCAAACAAATCCCAGTAGCGCCATTGAGATGGTCCGCATGCCAGGCACCGCCTCCAAGTTCGTGAACAGCGTGGCCTCGTCGCCAGCGGTGCGATGAACCGAACGGGCCGAACGGGCCGAACGGCCGTCGTGCTGCGGAGGGGGAATGGACAGTTGTGATACTGATAAGTTGATTTATATCCAATATATAATATATTTATAAATTATGTTGGTAATGATGTCCTTTATGTGTTATTTTTCCTAGGAAGCCTTTAATTATCGTTAATTACCAGAAATATATATCTACAGAGCAACACCCTTTTGTGTGAGTTTTCGTGTGTGTTTTTCGTGGGGGCCAGACCCTTCAGGAACTGGTTGAATGTCTGTTTCACGATTCCCAAGTGCAATGCTTGTGAGACCCATGACCTTCAGTGCAAAAGAACGCTTTCACCATTGGTCACCAAATCACGAAGGTTCCACTCACCTTGGCTCACTCACCGCGGCCAAGGGGCCAGAAGCGCCAGGCACCATATGGCGCAGAGCTGCTTGTTGCTGGCCTCATCGATCAGCGTCTCGACGGTACGTCGTCGACGTCGTGATCACCGTCGTTCCACGCGGAGCTCGGTGGATGCCGGAGGCGACGCCCGACGCGCCGTTCCAGGCGTAGCTCAGCAAGTCTTCAGGGGCACGAAGACTCGTGGTCATGGGAGTTTGCGCATCACATCGGCTAAATTGGCCGTCACTAAACCCCGGTGGGGGACTATCAGAATCCAAAAAAGAGGTCTCTGTTGGTTTGTGAAGACAGAATGTCGCAAAACCAGGGAAACAAACAAACTTTAGTATCAGAATCTGCAAATCCTAAGGATGCCGATACGCACATGCAACAACGCATCTGGAGTCAAGAATGCCTGTTTTTTGTTTGCAATTTAGGCTTTGGGCACTTTTAGGCTCTAGGAATGAGAGCCCTTGACGGGAACACAGGCCGAAACCTGCAGCTGGCAATTGAACAGTATGGAACAAGAAGTTGACTCTATGTGCAGCACGAAAGACCAAGTATGGCAAGTACTTATATAATTGAAATTGATTTTTTGTTCGCAACTACATACTTGGGGGTATTAGTATTGTTTTATTGTCCCAGTATTGCCAATCCTTTTCTCACGTGAGAAACATGCGACACACGATCAAATCTCACGGGTTCCATACTTGGAAAACGAGAGCCCGAGCTTCTTCGGACCCTGAGCTTTAAGTGGATATCATATGAGCAGCGGACAAAATTACTTGTGTAGCCAAATACCAGTTCCACAGAAACAAAGCCCTCCAACATACATTGTCATGCCGTGACTAGTCATACGTCAACCATCGTCAACCAATATAACTTTGTCGGTCGTCAAAGGGTCACCCGAAAGGGTCGGGTCCATCGTTTGATTCGCCGGTGAGTTTCTCACGGACAAAGCGATTCGACCGCGTTTCTTCGCCTTCCATGGGCTTGGTGGCTGGAGAGGCCTGGAGATTCACCGGTCAATGGAACAAATGGGACCCGGTCATGGACCGGCGAACAACAGAATAGACAAAGAGATGTACCCAGAACCCAGACATGAGCTCCACTTTGAGAGGAAGTTTGACCATATTCTGGGCGGCTATAGTGGTGCAAAATAGAGGTCACTCAGGTTCTAAGTATAGTTATATATATATAAGGTCAACCTACCAGCCCAGAACCCACCACAAGGTGAAGGTCTGTGGGAAGCGTCTCGAGCGCAAGTGATGTCGGTCAACCTACCAGGGTTCTTCCGGGGCTCCAAACCGGACAGAGTGTGTTCGTTGCTTCCGCATCCCGTGCGAAAGAGTGGGTGTGGTAGGAATAGGAAATAAGAATAGGTGAACATATCCAGCACTCCAGGATTTGACCTACAGTGAAATTTGACAAGGGCACAAATGCTTGCAAAACCTTGTAAACGTGTCCCTGAATCCATAGCTTTATGGGTTTGCTTATCTATCTGAATTGGCCACACCCAGAAGTGCCCGGGGTCTTGAGAATGGAGAGCTCTGTGGCCCTGGAGGCCCTTCGCCAAACGCCTCGTGGCGCCTTCCAGACTGCCTGGGAGTGCACGGGGGCGCGAGAGCTTGGGGGACCTAGGTTTGAACCCCACAAAGGACCCAGTGACTATAGTAAACGGGTTTTCTCCGCCGCTTCCAAAAAGAAACAAACAAACCAAAACACAATTAAAGAGACACAAGAAACACGTCATCCAAAACAACCCAAACCTTGGTTCACCCATCACAAGACCTGGGATCTGTTGGTTTCCAGGTGTCCAAAACAAAGGATCAGCCGCCACCGGGTCTTGCGTTTCTATGGCCGATGTCTGTTCTTCTGAGTCTGTGAACTCCTCTGAGAAGTCTCTTGCAGCTTTGAGAACCAAGGCGAAACGGGTACCTTTCTGGCCTTCTGTTTTCAGTATATACTCGAAAGCCCATCAGATGTCCATCACTCAAAGACCATGAAAAACAAAACTTCTGTGCTGGGCCAAACGAATCCTTCTGAGTTGGCGTCCAAAGGTGGGGTCTGAAAGATGACAAACTTCCCCGAAGGATGTAGCAAGTAATTATATTCACCTTCTCATGTGAGCCGCGCTCACTGAACCTCTTCAGGGTGAGTTCTTCTTCAGCTCTACAAAGTGTCTGTAGCTCCTTGTCAACCGCAAGACGAGTGAAATGAAAAGCCCGATCCAAAAATCCAAGAGCAGTGGTGATCTCTTACACAGAAAAGGCTCACTTACCCCAACAGCACCAAATGTGACATGTATTTCCAATTCACTCACAATCAGTGCTTGGGTAGCCCGGAAATAGTAAGATCCTTTCTCCCCAAAGACCCTCAGAGTGCTGGTGGGATGTGAACTGAGTGGCTTGGAGGACCACTTTAGGATACTTCAGGTCTTTTTGGAGATGCCCTTCGCTTCAAACGAGCTGTTGGAATGGGGGCCGAACCTTTGGAAGCATTCCGGCACTCCCAAAGCCACACATATAAACATGCAAATGTTCAAAAGAGCATGTTTGGAGCAACCATGTGACAAGTGTCCAAGCGATTCTTCTGGAGGCGCACGTGAAATCCAACATGACCACCGCTTCCTTCCGCGCCTGCAGCCTCGTCGGCTAAGGTCATGGGACAAAATAACAGCTTTGCGCAGCGTGCAGCTTGCGCGGCTTGGAGCAGCGTCGCGCCCAAACACCGATCAAAGGGAAACCACAGGGTGTCCCCCGCTACAGTATTCTAACAACTTCAAGCTGCTGTCTGAAGGCACTGTGGTGTCGCAGCGAGCTTTGCGCTAGTGAGGGGGAGCGAGGTTTGGTGTGTCTATAACTGCATAGAACATCAACTGCAAATTGTTCTTTTCTGTCTCTATACGACCTCTCATGCGACCTCTCATGTGGTGTTCATGTCGTGAGGTCCAGGTCGGCCTGTCGGTGTGTCCCAAGAACTGGAGCAATGCGGACTGTGCCGTGTCCGGTGCCAATCGGTTCGAGCAGTCTGCTCGCTTCGTGCGTTGCGTCGCGTCGTTGCGATGGTGTGAGCCAGAAAAGAGGGCCAAGAGCGGTATTGGAATCTTCACACTGAAAAGGCGAAAAGCCGTCTTGTCTCATTGATTTAGTTTTTCTTTTGCCTCACCTCGAAAAAGGAGCAAGACCAGGGGAAAATACTGATCTGGACAAAAATCACCCTTATAAGTCATTGCAGCGTCCTAGGCGTCCCATCCTGTCGACCTTCAGTGAGGGCTCGCTTGGTGCTTTGAGCACCTCGACCGGTAGGACCCTTCGAAAGCCTGGACCAGGAGCTGTTTGGTCCGGTCCTCACCCCGTCGACTTTCCGGAGTCCAACTTAGTTAACATGTTGGAACTCCCAGACACTCCATGTCATATATATGCATACATTGACCCCCCTGGCGCCACCCCAATGTAGACAAAGATGGCAGTCCCATGGAGTGCTTGGGTGTTGGAACTTACACTTGCAATTTGCACTCTTCTTAGCTTCTTCTCGTGCTGAGTCTTACCCAACACGCCGTGCACTCATGGAAATGGACATTCCGACTCAAACGCTGGAGGATACATGGTCATTTACCAACCGAAAACCAGTAACTGTCGAAGCAGTTCACGGGAAGAGTTGGCTGCATTCCGCCCAAACCATCAAATTCGGCTTCACGGCTTCGGTTGCCCAACTCCATCCACAATTGGAAGGCACCAGACTGGTCACCGGTTGCTTCAGAAACTGCACCTCCCAACCGACCCACGTCGCTCGGACCTTGGCCACCTTTGTCTAAACAAGACCGCCATCTCACCGCCACCGGACCGGACTGGGGCGCCCCTGCGGGCCCAAGCTCAAGGCACTGCGCAAGGCACTGCACCTCGTATTTGCTCGTGCAAGCGAAAGTGTGGAGTCCGAGGCCGGGTGGTTTCTCAAAGCTGCGTCCAGCTTGTGTTGGCCAGCGCTTGACATATATACACTATAGTGCTACTGGATTACTTACAAACTATAAACCCACTCCGGTGTCACATCACAAGGCGCCAGCCCCCCCAGCCAGTCATCTGATAAATCATCTGAGTTGCTTGTATTGTAATGTACTGTCATCATTGTCATCCTACATCATCCTACCACCTGACTGGGTGCCCTGGGGCTCCACACTCTGCGGGAGGCGGCGCCTGTCACCCGGCTGATGGTGGGATGCTCCCCTATCGCCGAGGAAAAATGACGTCATCTTTTCGGTGATTGAGGTCGAGATGGACATGTTTCTTGATATGTTTGATGATGTGTTTTGTTTCGACTTGACCAATCCCAGTCTGTTTCTAATGTTTCAAGATCAAATCATTGACCTTCCTGACAACCTAGCGAACCCAAGCCTGCTCAAACCACTGCCACCCAACTAGACCTCCATAAGCCCAATGAGTCTGCCACTGCCACAATCACATACAAGTAGGTGGGGTGAGTAACTCAAAGAGGATCGATGGATTCTCTTTCCACTCTTTCCACGGGGCTCTGATCGACGGCCACATACGAAGTGCCTAGGATAGGCTACAGGGAGAGCAGGCTCCGGGCACTATTTCATTTGATCCTAGCTGCCTATAGCTGCCTGGCTCACCTTTGGAAAGATGAAAGTGAACGGCACAGGTCATCAGCTGATCGGAAGCTCTTTGGAGATGCCATGCTTCACATATGGCTTCACAAATCCTTTGTTTTAGATGTGATGCGGGCGGGACATACTTCAGATATCCCGCGCGTTCAGGGTCCAAACATGAGGGTGTCCTTTGGGCCCCAGTTCGACCATTCTCTTGGGAAGTACGAACTCACCTGCAACTGAAAACACCATCCTCAATTCCTCAGGAATTCCTCCAGGGACCCTAGGGACGCTCCCAACCGCCGGCATCGTGCCTTGGTCGGAGCTAAAGCCTTCACAGTAAGGAGATCTCCCAACTGCACAGCCACCATGGCGTGCGCCGGTTCGCTCGGTTGGATGGGAGGGTCCATAGTACAGTAAGGTTGTTTGGAGACGAAACGAATCCAGGCCCGAACTTGAGATTGATGAGTTTCGGGTCCGCATCCCTGTGACAGGTCGGTGACCGGGTAGGTCCGGATTCTTCCAGTTTGGAGCTGACCTGTGACAGGGGTTACAATGCTGTGTTGTCTGACGTCGTGCATCAAGGTATGCGGTGGTGCCGGGGGGTGAAACTGAAACTGGTTGCTTCCTCGTGTATGTGAGGCATGCGGCCGGGGTTCACCTATCAAGTTCCAAGAAGTCGGGAACTTCTTGCGGCTCGCTATCGCTAGGCCGCTAGTTGTTGGCTGGATGTCTGATCAAGTAAACCAACTTCCAGCAATTCTAGCGCTGTCACGAACCTAGGTGGAATCTGGATGCCAACTGACTGTAACACGGGTATGCATGTGGTGCGCATCTTTGGTGGGTATGGCTGGGGTTTGCCAGTGTTGCTTGGTTGCCTGCGGAGTTGCTGGGCCATCCTCGACTCTGAAGCATGATGTCTTGCTTTCCAGTACTTCATACCTGCATGGTGTCCATGGTGTCCATGTTCAACCAAAACAACTAAACATTCCCCCCCGGCAGCAGTCTCTGGTCATGGTCATGGCAAACTAAAACATGACTGCCGAAGAGTCTGGCAGTCGATTTGGGCCAATTGCAAGGAATGCAGCAACATGGGATGGACCAAAAACTGTTCAAGATCCCAAACCCGCATGGAAACCGACCTAATCGATCAATGAGCATCCAGCCAAGTCGAAAAGACCCTCCTGCATCGGAGTTGGCAACATGTCTGCAATAGAATTCTGTGACACGGCCGCAGAGCAAAGTGCTCACCTCTGGTCATTTCCTGTACAAACCCAGCCATTCTGTAAGAGCTCACCCTGTAGAGCCCCAAAAGCAGGAGAAGAGATCTGCATGACCCTCTCCCTTCACATGACAAAGGGACACATGACACAAAGCCCGCAGAATTGGAAAATTACAAAACCTCAGCTGAATGTTCTTGACACAAATTGATCTGTTGGACTTCCTGCTAGGCTCTGCTAATGTAGAAAACTGATTGATAACCAATAAAACACCCCTCACCCCCCATTTGGATTGTAAAGCATCTTTATATCGTTCGTAATATGGCCTTTATTAATCAAGAGGTATCACGAGTCGACATTGTGTGCGTCACCCAAAGTTCTCACTCTGCACGGGTCTACACTGGGGTCTTCCCCAAACAAACCAATGTCCAAGTCGTGTGTTCACACCTTTGTGAGCACGCCACAGCACCATTTTGCTCAAAAAGGCAATTCTTCAGTTCATCTCCTGCCAAGTGGCTCTTGTCATTCCCTAGGGCTCCAGTCGTACCTCCTCAGAAGGTATGACCGGACCCTCCTGGCACCCACCCCAGTCCCACCTTCGAAACGAAGGTACGACTGGAGCCCTAGGGTGAATCTTTCGTGGTCAACCAACATCCACAGGGATTCACCCATAGGGAAAATAACACATCATCCTATAAACAAAGTGAGTTTTTTGCCTTTCTAGGATCCATCCATCTCCGCACCTTCAGAGCCACCGAGCTGCTCCTTTCGCTCCTTTTTGGGCGTGCGCAGCTGCCCCGCGGGTCGGGGAAAGTCCCCGGCCGCGGGTCGGAGATCCGCCTGGGACGTCGAGTTAGGAGGTATGCCAGGGGTCACAACAGTCACATGGACTTAGTTGGGGGGGTGTGGCTCGTCCCATCCAGTGAGTATAGATATGATGTTCGGGCACACCATGGTCACCATGGGGTCACGAGACCATGGCCCCATGGCACCCCGGTTCGGAAGGGCAGAACACATCCTACCACGTACGGCGGATTTGCTTTGATCTGGTCTCATGAGTCGAGCCTACTTTGCAAAGTTGGATCAATTAAGACTAATCAACTCATCTTCACCCACAAAGAAGCACAACTCATATGGGTGTTCGTCCATGGTTCACAGGATCCTTTTCTCATCTACACCCACGTGGTCCATGAGGGATTGAACTTTGGGAGACCTAGTACGTCATGTCATGTCTGCAAGCTAATTCAGTCTTGGAGGAACAAAACAAAGTCCGAGCTGGTCGGGTTCGACCTCCCCCGGGGAGACGGGTCCACCCAGTGGGAGACCTTTGAGGGGGGACCTCTCCCGGAGTACGGACAACACCCCCTGTTGGGCCACACGAGTCGGACGAAGACATCATCTCGGCGACGTCCTTGACCTGCTGTAGAAATTGAGTACCAACCACCCAAAGTCATAGGCGAAACAAAGTCATGTCTGGGTTCCAGGATGGACATGGATGGCACCTGCTTGCGGAGGAAACTCTCGTATTCCAAGGCACCATGCCATCCACTTCCATGTGTTCGTCAGAGTGCGACTCAGCAAAAGTTGTCCGATCCATCTCTTTTGCATGTGACCTATTAGAGACTCCATGTCATACAACGGGTTCCATGGTTGGTGATGAATCTGTTCATGGGGATTCCAGAATATTGTGCTGGCTGATAAGCATCTAGAACTCATCTAAGCCCGATTTTGACTTGGAACAGTATGTTTGGCACGTCACTACATTGTTGTCACTCCAAACAGGGTCCAAAAAGATTATCACATAACCTAGTGGTCCAGGACCATCCGAATCGGATGTCCTTTGGCCCCAGTTCGACCATTCTCTTGAAGTACGAACTCACCTTCGTTCGACCTTCCTCAAAGGAGGTCGATACTTCTTGAGAAGAACTTCAGCAACCACCAGATCACACAATATCCCACATCTGTCACATCAGTCCGAAGAGGACATTCGCTTCACCGCCCCTCGAGTGTCCGTTGGGACGACTGCTCTGCACAGCCCACCGCGCACCTGCCCTTCGCCCCAGCCGCGCCGCCAGCCCAGCGCCGCCGGCCTCCCGGGTTCAACTTCGACTCACTCCGCCGAAGCGGGCGGAGTGAGTCTCCACCTCTAAGACCGCGGTGGAAAGTCGGGTGGAAACCCACCGTCTTCCGTTGAAGGTTTTCCACTGGACTCACTAACTGGATAGGAAGACAACTATTAAGACGCCTAAAAGATCCTGACTGAAAGGCTGTTTCCCAACAACAAACTACACTCTGCCGTTAGAGTCAGAGATCAAGGGCTGTCATTTTCCGGTGCGAGTGTTCAACAGCTCCAACGTCTGAATTGGAGGGTCCAACAAAGGACTACTTTGGAAAGACTCAGCACATCTCAGAACACATTCTCAAACCAACCAACAGAGGTTTGAAGAACCCTAGTTCGACTATCCCATGGATACCCCAGGTAGTGGGTCCTATACGTATATCAGGTCACAAAAAAAACACTCTCTTGGAAGGGCATGCATCCCAGGACACCCCCGAAAAAAAGGGGCTTCTATTGATAGCCCCTTAGATGTTAAGGAGTGTCCATTAACTATACCCAGACACTCCATGTATGCCATATATGCCTACATTGACCCCTCAAACCACCCCAATGTAGGTAAATGTACCATACATGGAGTGTCTGGGATAGGATCCAAAGCCATGAGGAGTGTCCACAACTTCTGCCGTCTGCCGTCTGCGGTCGGTCTTGGCGTCCCCCGTGCTGAAACGCACCACGAGGTCGCCCCGAGGTCGCCCCGAGAAGCAAAGGTCAACAAAGGCCTCTGGAGCATAACAAAAAGAAAACAACAACTACATATCATGTATGATCATGTATGCATATTGTATACTATTTATGCATGAAACGCATCCCTCACGTGATACCATGCGGAGTGACATGCTCGGCATCCAACAAAAAGACACAAGCCCCAAGCCCTAAAGCAAAACACTTCGAGGTCCGGAGGACAAATGACAAGAATGATCTGCTGATCTACTCGAGCTGACTCAAAGCTTTGGATCCACATACCTGCTGTCAGGTAGTTGGACTTTCCAAAGTGCTCTTCACGTGCATCCCGGAAAAATAAAATGAGACATGTCATTTGCACAGTGCTTTGAACGCGCCAAGTTCCTCTCGCGACCCACCTCCACACACTCGTGGCGTCCATTTTTCAACCCAAACACTCGGGCATCGTCGGCGAGAGCGGGACGTGTGTGGAGCTGAGCGGGACGTGTGAGCTGACATCGAACACCCTCCAAGGTCCTCTAGGTCGGCACCCTCGACTTGCTCCGATCCCCAAAAAAGAACGGACCCCAAAAAGGATACATTTTCGAGACTCAATGACTTGGAGACCACTTGGAGACTTCCCAACCATTTTGCTTTGAGGCCAGTGTTTGAACCTCATTTCAGCGGCCACTACCCGGGTTGCCGATCTTGGTCCGCTGGGTCTTTTGCCCAAACATGCTAAAATCATGCAACATCTTAATAAGACACCTCCAATCTGCGTATCATCGATGAATTTACTCGTTACATCTCGTTACCATGGTCATCTCGATCTTGCAATCCATTTGTCCGGAACCAGGGCAAGTTCGCCTTCGTAGGGCCAAGTACCCCTGGTAGATTAGGTCCCAGCATGTCCCAGTTCCCGGTGAGACGGTTTTTCGTGACCGGCGGCGAGAGACAGCCAGTTCAGGATGGTGGTTGCTTGGCGGTTGCTCGGTGTCCGAAAAGAGGGGGGACCGGGGATATACCAGGTAAGTTAAGCGGTGGTGAATAGATAGGTCTTAACCTCTCAGGGGCTATTATTAAACACTCCTGGAAGGGCTCTGGTATACAGTAGAACCTGAAAATCTATACATCTTTGATCCTCTTTGTAGAGAGATATTAGTCTTCCAGTGTTCCATTTTCAGGTACCCGACACCATCCTACATCCATATGGGTTTGAGTTTAGCCTCTCACGTAACCAGTTGAGGCGTTTGTTGTTTGAGTGATTTTGGTTCTTTCAATTGTGAGTGCTCTGGAGACTATCTGTAAATTTATGAACATCTGCAATATGCTTTATTTAAAGACTTTTGAGGGCTTCTCATCATTCTCTTTTGAACTGCTTGGTTTGCTATTCTTGGAAGGTTTCCTGCTGGAAAGAAGAACCACTGAAGTTTATGCATGAACCAAAAACCTCAACAGCACTAGGGATGACATGGAATGACTGAACCCATGTTCCAAGAGCAAACTCTTGGAGTAACAGCAGTTCACTCTCCCTTTCTCAACGCAGTTTTAGTTATCAAAAGCTCGATGAAGCGATGCTGGTTCATAAAAATACATGGAGGGCATATCGTCTTTCGGCGTATATGTCTGCATGTTCCATGCTTGTTCGTAGCAGCACGTTCTGTTTGGGTTTCAAGAGGTGCAAGCAAATCGCCACAGGCAGTGCTACTATCCTCTTCAAGACTTTCACTCACCGCCGATGAAGCGCTGAAGTCGATACTCTCAGCTGTTGGTGGCTAAAGTGCGGGTCTTCTCCGTCCGCTTCAAGCTCTCGTAGTTACGACCTGGTCGGTCACGTGAGAGATAGACGGATCACCTACAAGATGGGTCTGAGGATACAAACCTAGTCACCCCCAAATGAACTGGTCCGCAATCCAGTGTCCAATGGAACATGTTTAACACCGGCTAAAACATGCTAAAGTTATGAAACAAGTTCCAAGGCCTCTGTTAGCATCACTTTAACATGTATTCAAGGACAGCCCGTGGTTTAGGGGATCTGTCCACAATGGCCGATCAGCTGAGCTGGCCAATTGAATGGAAAACACAGCGCTGCACTTGAGAAGTCTGGTGGGAGGGGATCAATCGAGACCCAAGACCAAACACCTTGAGGGTGCGTGTGCGCGTGAGGGAAAACACCAGGGCCATACCAGCATGATCCAACCTGCTCCGACTGAGAAAACCTTTCACACTCTTCAAATCGTCTGGGCATCCCAAACAAAGCTTCGAAAAGGACTGGCTCAAACCTGGGAGAGGCCAAATGCTCGAAAAGCGGTTCGGCGGTTCCCGTGGCTCCTGTGCACAAAGGAGTCCAAATGGACCTAACCTGGGAGTCCAGTTGACTATACCCAGACACTCCATGTATGGAATATATGCATACATTGACCCCCCAAACCACCCCAATGTAGACAAATAGAATGGTCCTGACTCGGTGACCCGCGAAGCCTGGAATTTCGACTTCAGTCGGTCCAAATAGAGTCGAACTGGACTTCCGTCGGGCCTTTCTTTTTGGTTCATATATGTCCATAACTGCTCCAGGCCCGAGCCACCATCACTATCAAATATAAGCTCTTTTGGGTTAAGGAATCCTTCTCAGTACTCAGTACCTGTAAATACTAGCAATGGCAATGCCAACAAAATATTGTTGAGTCCCATCCAGTGCGTGGATCGGCACTCCTAACCTCCTATCGGCACACCAAGCCTTTGGAACTTCCTGGTATTGGGATCTATAGTCAAATCATGTTGGATCCATCTCAGCTGCTTTTCTTCCTTGGGACTGGCACCATCCCACGTTTTGCAACACCCCAAAAGAGCCACCACCATTCATGTTGGTTTTTCCTCCCGATAAACGACTTGGGAGCACCACCCGCACCAGTCTTTGGGTTCGTCTTGGGTTGGCTTTTTCAGTGTTTGTATCAAAAAAACAAACACTCCCAAGCTACAAGTCCAGAGTCCAGCACTGAGACATCCATGCTTTTTTGGATCGAGGGAAAAGATACAGCCAAGGATCGAGACCCTGAAAAACAAACTCATATGGTGACCATTGTCCGTCGACCGTTGATGACAAAAAGGCCCGTAATGCACATTAAAACATCTTCAGATGGGGGGTTGTACTAAGCAACAGTCGACTCCTTTTCTCAGAAGGTAATTGGACTCTCCAAACCTAGGACCTATATAAAAGTGCGAACACATTACCTTCTGGGAGGTCTCCCTACCTTATTACACACCCATATGTTGTGTGCATATCCCATGACCAGAGCCCAGTGAATAAAACTAGATTATTGGTTGCAGGCCTTTCAATCTCAAAAGAGTGACAGTGCTTTTTCCGACTCTTACTGGTAATGGGACATACCCGACGCATTGTATATCCCAAACACTCCATGTGTGCCATATTTGTCTACATTGGGGTGGTTTGGGGGGTCAATGTATGCATATATTCCATACATGGAGTGTCTGGGTATAATATATATACATATATGTATATATATATATACAGTTCTAGCTCATGTAGACCGTTGATGAATAGAACCTAACATTTGGAATGTAAGGCCACGTCATAGGGGCGGTTATTCATCAACAGTTCTGCGGTCTATACAGTTTCGTCGTCATTCCAGGTCTGTCCGTGCCTAGGTCGGTGTGTCCATCCCTGCTTTCATCTGTCCAAAAAGCATCAACATGAAACATCACTTTGGGATTCACACCACTTCTCAGTGTTGAAAGCCCGAACGTCTACTCCTGCCGGGCGACGTGCTTCGATCTGGCTGTCTTTCTCCTTCAACGCCTTCAGCTTGTCCTCGAAAGGCAGTGGGGCGTCTGGGCTCAATTTCTGCATGAGACTTTGCTTGCCAACCCTCCAAGAGGTTCCGGACTGTTGCACGGTGAACATGGGTCGAAGATTGTCTGCTCACAAGAAGTTGCAGCCTTTTCTACAGTTGTCCATTGCACCACGGTACCTCGTGTACAACTATATTCCTCTTGCACCCAAACACTTATCCTCTTGCACCCAAACACTTATCCTCTTGCACCCAAACACTTATATAACTTAATTATCTTAATTGACCCCTGAAGTGAACTTACACCACTTGGTCAGTTCTCTGTCAGTCCGGAGCGAAGCATGCCTTCTTGCTACCGGGTTGGGTCAGCGTGACCTCTCAGACTTTGTTTTTATTGATCATACATCATAATATAATTGTATACAATTGTTACTGTTCATGTTTTCCAAACGAATCCAGGACATCAACCTGGGAAGTTTGCTAGGGTCTGCTTACTTTCATACATAGCTGGGTTCTCCCCTCATCCGGATGGCCGGTGAGCTCACAATGCTCGCGCCGCTCGCGCCTCCGTTGAAGAGAGGTGCTCGAGCCTCAGCTGAAGCTGAAGAGGTGATCCGGATCAGCCAACGGCTTCCACCAACCCTGACACAACTGGATCCCCACATCCAATCCTTTCCCTATGGATCCAAGTACCTTCTGAGAAGGTGTTTGGGGTGGGTTTGGAGGGTCCCCACAACTGGTTCCTTTACGAAACCACCATGGAACTCCTGGAGTCGTTGCTCCTGAGCTCGGAACTCCTGGAAGCATCCAGGATGTGCAGGCTGGCAGGTGGTGCAGGATCCTGTGAATCTGGATATAACTCTAGATTCTAGATTAAATTGCTGGTGTTGTGCAGCATGAAAACAACCACATCATTTTACCATGACACCAGAACATCATCAATCTTGATTTCGGTGACCAGTCACGGTGAGCATCAGTTCATCCGCTAGCGGCTAGCGATGTGTGCAGCATGATCACAGTCATCACTCGAATGGTCCACCCCGTGACACTAGGCGATCCATGAGATCCAAAGGCATGAGGAGCCGACCGGTGGGAAGAGACCGTGCGTGCTTGGGCAGCATGACCGTCACCCGTGGTTGCGACCGGTCGAACTAGCGGCTCGGACCAGGAGACGTCAGGTAGTATTGACAGATGCCCCTGTGGATCCACGAAAAACTGTGGTGTCATGTGTAAAGCCTCTCGTGATTCGACGACCTACCGCACACCGTGAAAACACTACAGCATCATCCTCAGCGCGCGGCAAGGCCAACAGAAGGCGGATCTGCTCTCGGGTTGCCTAAGGCACGTCCATGCTCCAAGTTAAAGGGACGAACCAATCACCCAAAGAACACCTTGGAACCCATTTGACCCCTGTTTTGCTAGGACAAGACCTTTTGGGGTGATTTCCCAATTAGGTCACGACCGGGGGCGGAAGAAGCCACGGGCGGTGGCGGCTTCCGAAGAGGCCCCAAGAATCCAACCAGCCCGAAGCTCTCGGGGTCTGACCTTCTCAGAAGGCACGCTCTGGAAGATTCACATGGAACCGGAAAACTACTCATGGAACGTGGAGGAAACATGAGGAAACTCGTTCAGGTTCCATCTTCCAAAGGTCAATGTTCACCAATGTTCAGCTTCCATGTTGGGTGCAATTGGATCCTCCAAACCTCCATAAAAGTGTCTCCACTTTCTCACCTTCTCAGAGGGTATGTGGATCCAATAGGGAATGAGAACCCACTTTCCCCCTCACTTGCCAGGGTCTGACCCACAAAAGGTCCTGACCGGGGCCGGGGTATGTAACAACACCCTCAAACACTGGCACATATCTTGTGAAGCCATGAGGTTTCATCTGCACTGACTTAGCACCTTCGCATCATCCTTCAATTGAACATGTCCCACAAAAAGCATCAATTGGTCTCCATGTTCATTTATTGCATCCTTTTTGTGCATGGCCCTCGGCAGCAGCGTGTTGTGACCGTGGTGACCTTCGAAGAAAATGGCGAAATACGTTGAACCTGCTTTTCTTTTCCTCACTTCTTCTTCTTCTTCTTCTTCTTCTTCTTTGCGTTCCACGGAGTTCTGTTCTTTTCCGGTGGAAAGCTGCGGGGAGACGGAGAATCGAAGGCTGTGGGGGGTCCGCTGCGGCGGACATCGGTCATCCACGAACCACACCATCTCCTGGGACTGGACCTGGATTTCAGGGCTCCTGCCCTGCATGGCACGAAGGATGAGGTGGGTGCCAGGGGCAGGGGGGTCCAAATACCTTTCGGATATGGGCCAGCAGCCCCATATATAGGGACGTATGGAATATATGCTCTCAAAGCACTCGAACTGATCGGATGGCTCAAGAATCCACCAATTCCCAGGCTGCTCGGCCCAAGAAAACTGACCCGCGTCGCGAAGAAGAGAAAACTAATCTAGCGCGGCGTCCAATAACTCTAATTAGACTCTAAGAAGCAAGCTTTAACTCTAATAACTCTAAGACCCATAACGATCTCTTCAGCACCCAAAACCGCTGGACACGCCGGCTCACGTAAACCCCGAGCCGGTCCAGGGGAAGACAAACGTGGAAACGGTGTGGACTCCGGACTCCCTGCTGCCCAGGAGCGCCGGTGAGGTTGGAGGTTTGCCGCAGGTCTCAGCTTCAGACCGTCTTCGCAAGCAAGTTGTAGAAAATCCATGTAGGACCATACACATACATGAAATGATGTCAAGACCTGAGGGATGAAGATCTATTTCAATGAGTCATTGAAGTCATGCTTGTCTTGTCCATCCTGGTCCTGTCAAGCCTCTTCTCTCAGCCTTTTTTGGGCAGGAGTTCCCGGAAGAAGGCTAGTAGCGACTACCACATACACAACAAACACAAGGTTCCCACAGGTTTCGGTATTCTCAGGTCCAAAACTCTTTAGCAAGTTGGTCGCCTAGGCCTTCTACAACAAGGCATCCGCGTCTACTCGTTGCAGTTGCACAGTGACATGACATCTGTGACATCATCGTGTCACCTTCGAAGTCGCAGTCGTTTTTCCGAAATGGCGAACTCGTCATGCATATCCATAGCCATATCATGCCCTATCCCAAACACTGCATGGGGACTGGCACTGGGACTAGCAAATTGACCTACATCGGGGTGTGCTGCAGGGGTCAACGAAGGCAAATCTCCCAGTCCCATGGAGTGCCTGGGGTGTGCAAACATTCACACGACTTGGAGACAGGCTTTTGATCGAAGGCGATGCGTCTCCAATATCAGTGACTCGTCTCTGCGCCTTCGTCGCCGCGGCGTTCGGCGAATTCTGGGCGTCCCTGCGCTCTAAGTCCCTGATGAGCTGTTCCGTGGTCTCTTCGATGGCGGTATCCTGCACTGCATTCAATCAACCAGGCTCTGGGCAAAGAATGAAAGCTGCAAGATCTGCACAAAGCCTGGAGTTTTGTACCAAGGGATTTAGCTTCAATTGTTATCAATTGTTTTGACATGTTTTGACCTAATGTAAAACGGGGCATTCAGAAATGTCGATGGACAAGCTTGGATACATAGATGGGTGATAAGCTGAAAGGCTGGGTGGGTGCGTATGCCCTAGTTGGAATAACGCTTGATGCTCAGCTCCACCTGTGGATGTTCGATGCTAGGTGTCTGAACAGCAATCGGAGAGAGACAAAGAGAGAGAGAGAGAGACACACACAAACACAAGACACGCACAAAGACATGAATCTAGGCCAAAAACAAAAAGCAACTCCCCTTCCGACTCCTGACTTGTCACACACCTGCACCAAGCCACCATTTTCCATTGAAAGATTCCCCAACTACCCTGCACCAAAAATGCTCCTAGTTCAAAGGAAATGGGGGTTCTTTCACCTTCTTTCTGTTCTTTTTCAACTTTCTACCCATTGGATGTGCTTCAGGAACCGGGTCAAACACGACGGTACCGGAGAGGATCCCCGTCTGACCCGAACAGCGATCTGGGGAAGCGAAAAAAGCAGGTACTCGGAGCAAGGACTAGGGGCTCCTGGCCATACCTCTATAGGAGCAAGGATGCTACCAGGGAATCCCTTGCAGCCCATCCTGGGCTTCCAGGGAATCCACTGCGTCCATGCTGCCGCTGCCCGTACCTGGAGCACGCGCCACCGCAGCACGCGCGATGGTCAGCGGAAACACCCGAGAGGGGCTCCAGGCAATTACTTTGTTCACACGACCAATTGATATACCAAGACATACCAAGACGCTACAAACGAAGTGTGCTCGTCTTCCATTCATGCTTTTTCTCGAAGAGTTCCCCCGAGTGACGGCTAGCCATAACGGCTCGGCCGGCTGTGACATGCTTTTTCGCCGTGTTTGTTCCGGGTGCTTCAGTGTCATAGGACCACTATACTAATAGTGGATTGAGAGGACCAATGGCACAGACCCCAAGAGGTGGTTTATATGGACCCCTATATAAAGGACATCTTGGGGTCTGTGCCATCTACTCTCAATCCACAACTTATAGCTTATTTCGACGAGGAGCCAGTGATTTGGCGCCCAAGTCCTCTGCCTGACCATTCCGGGTATCCTTGGGTCCAAGTTCATGACCGTAGCACTCTTCGTTGACTGACTGCGTCGACTGACTGCAACTCATGGGGAGATTGAGCAATCTGGTTTAGTCAAACAAAGAAGGCCATCAGCCACCACTTCTAGCGACAAAGCCGCCCCGAACCAGGCTTTTGTTCGCGCCTGTGGTTCCACGGCTTTTCCTGGCCAACGGATACCTCTGCTCACATGACACCCTGGAAAAAAGGAAACTGCCGAGTCACTTTGAAAGAAGGTGGAGGGTGAATCATGGCGGAGATTGCTGTGACCCGACCCATAGATCTTGTCTTGGGCATGTCCCACTGCCAGCTATAACGGTGGATGATCATGGTCAGTGAAGGACTTCCCACAGAATGGTGTTAACATGATGTGATATTAACACATATATATATATACACTATAAGTACTATATATAATATAGGGCACCAGTCGCACCTTCGTAGGCTGGGAGCTGGGGTGGGTTTGGAAGGTCATTGGGCCCTCCGGACTCGAAACTTACATCATAAACGTGTCTCCAATCACTTTCTCAGGGCGCATGTGGATCAACATGAAGATTCGGTGTTGGCTGCGCAGTCTGGTGCTTTCTGGTCTGCTGCCGGAGTTTTCGAGGCCCCCAGAATCCCGTCCTGCTCTTGGTGCTGGGCCTCGGGACCAGGCACAAAGGCTACGGACGAAATGCAACATATCCAAAGGGCCAAGGCTATGGGAATTTGTTTGAGAAACCAAGCAACTGTCTACTTTTGGTGCGGATTTCAATGGCTCCAACAGGGGCAGCGGAACTGAGAAGCTGTGATTGTTCACATGTTGTTTTTTGAAAATCCCCTCAAAGTATGGTCTGCAAAAAAGGAACAACACTCTCACACACGTCCACTGGACGACGAGAAGGAATACCCAACAGGCCTTTCGAAGCCACAGCATACAAAACCCTTGAAAATGTGTCGCTTGCTGCTTGTTTGTCAGCTCCAGCTTCGAGCAACAGGCGCACAACCTCCAAGCGGCCTTTCAAAGCAGCAAACACAAAGCCGTTGAACCATCCTCTCTTGCTGTTTCGTTGTCAGCTCCAGCTTCCAGCAACAGGCGCACAACTTCCAAGTGGCCTTTCGAAGCCGCCACATCCAAACAAGTTGAGCCATCTTCTCGTGCTGCATCTTTGTCAGCTCCAGCTTCCAGCAACATCCGCACAACTTCCAAGTGGCCTCTTGAAGCCGCAACATACAAAGCCCTTTAACCATCTTCTCTTGCTGCATCTTTGTCAGCTGCAGCTTCCAGCAACAGGCGCACAACTTCCAAGTGGCCTTCCGCAGCTGCAAAATACAAAGCCGTTGAGCCATCTTCTCTTGCTGCATCTTTGTCAGCTCCAGCTTCCAGCAACATCCGCACAACTTCCAAGTGGCCTCTTGTAGCCGCAGTATACAAAGCCGTTGAACCATCTTCCCTTGCTGCATCTTTGTCAGCTCCAGCCTCCAGCAACAGGCGCACACCTTCCAAGTGGCTTTTTGAAGCTGCAATACACAAAGTGGTTGTACCATTGTCTCTTGGTGCATCTTTGTCAGCTCCAGCTTTGAGCAACATCCGCACAACTTCCAAGTGGTCTTTCGCAACCGCAACGTACAAAGCCCTTGCTTGAACCATCTTTTCTTACGTTTTCTTTGTCAGCTCCAGCTTCGAGCAACAGGCGCACGACTTCCAAAGTGGCCTTTCCAAGCTGCAAAATACAAAGGCGTTGGAACCATCTTGAGTTGCTGATTCTTTGTCAGCTCCAGCTTCGAGCAACAGGCGCACAACATCCAAGTGGCCTTGTGCAGCCGCACCACACAAAGCCGTTGAACCGTCTCCTCTTGCTGCATCTGTGTCAGCTCCAGCTTCGAGCAACATCCGCGCAACTTCCAAGTGGCCTCTGTCAGCCGCACGATGCAAAGCCGTTGAGCCATTTTCGGTTGCTGATTCTTTGTCAGCTCCAGCTTTGAGCGACAGACGCACAACTTCCAATTGGCCAGTCCAAGCCGCAGCCTGCATAGGCTGTGAGCCTGTCTCTTTTCCTGCATCTTTGTCTGCTCCAACTTCCAGCAACTGGTCAACGACTTCTAAGTGGCCATTCCCAGCTGCAAGAGCCATAGCTGAAAACCCGTCTTCTCTTGCTGAATCTTTGTCAGCTCCAGCTTCAAGCAACATCCGCACAACTTCTAAGTGGCCTGCATTGTGCCCTTTCGATTTGGATCTTGTGGTTTCTGAAGCAGCTGCTCAAGTTTGCCTACATCATTCTCTCCACATGTTCGAAGCAATTCTTCCTCTACTGCCTCATCAGGAGCACAAAAGTCAAGGATCACCAACTGCACCCTTGGCAGTGGCCTCAATTGCATGTCATCCCGCAACTCGCCCATGACTCCGAAGAGCCTTTGCCGAAACCGCGAATATCCAATTCGTTCTGCCAGGAACTGCTTGAGGTCCCTGATCGTTTGTCCTTGTTCCACCATGACTTGGAGTTCATCTTCACTCACCTGGGCGACCATCTCGTCAGAGAGAGCGGTTGCTTTCATGTGGTCGCACGGCCAAGCAACCAGGCTGCCGTGAGGGTATCTAAGCTGCACAAAGCGAATGAAGCGGTGCCCCGTATGGGGGGGCTAAAAATAGTAGCATGTATAACTGTATAATAACTGTTTCTTGTGTTGTCCCTAACATTTGTGGCGGATGAACAGCTGAATTCTTCCGTTAATTGGTCAACTCAAATGACCATTGCTATTTCGGGAAGTGACATGTCTTTTACGCAGCTCAGCTCAACAATTCATTTTATATTCATTGATTGGGCAAGCCGAAGCGAACCAGCGGACCAGCTCAGCCAAACCGACGGCCCAGCTCAGCCAGACGGCTCAGACCGATGAGTGCAAAACTGAGACCGTCTCACCAAGTGAGGAAACTCTCCAATCTGGAAACCGGCCAACGAGGCAGTGGTTGGAATGGAAAACCAGAAATGCCGTAATTGGAATTATCCAGTTTGGAGTTGTAAAGACCATATATTATATATAGACATGGGACAGTATGGTGGCACTGTCCCATTCGTGTTTCCCGGATTAGGCATTGTTGTGGTTCAACTGAACAAAAGAAACAACTAATTGGTTTAATCGATGCAAAGGCCAAACTCGGCTGCTTCATATGTTTCATTCTGTAGGTTGTAGTAACTCCAATCAGCTCAACGGAATTCCGGACACTTGCTGTCAAACATGTAACACGTAGCTCTCGGTACGGCGTTCCGGATACCTCTCCTGCACTCGACTGTGCGCGTCCTCAAATCACCACCTGTGTTTTCAGGCGTATCCACCATCTAGGCCATACCATCCTATCGAAAGCGAGGTGTTCGGAGACTCTGATGCAGGCACTCGGAGAGTCTGTACTTACCGAACCCGAGGAATTAAACAGAAACGAAGGCGTCAGGAAGGTCTGAGTCCGGCGCTGCTTGCGCAAGTTGCTGCTCATCGTCCGATTCCACCTCATCTTGCTGTCCGTGGACTTCTTGCTCATTGCCTGTGTGCAGTTTTCGGGCATCATTGGGCATCTTCTTCTATACTTCCCCATATAGTATCAACAATAAAGGATCATCAACAGACTCTCCACTTTCAAGAAATTACATGGGGGGAATGAAATCGTATAAATGACGTTCACTAAATACTTCAGAACTTCAGAAATGACTTGCCCCCAACCATTGAGTGACTCAGGAACCAAACCATGCGACCAAACCGCATTGAAACACCCATCCCGCCTCGGGGCTCACCATCCGAGGCATGCCCCCTGGGCTCACCAACCGAGGCATGCCCCCTGGGCTCACCATCCGAGCCATGCCCCCTGGGCTGCGGTTTTCCGTGAATCTGTGAATCCGTTTTACCTCGAATGAGTATATAATTCCCGTGAATCTTACCACCTTCTGAAAAGATGGTTGGTGTGGATTTGGGGGGTCTAACCACCTTCTGAGGAGATGGTTGGAGCCGTAGGGAATGTTGTAATTGATGAGTAGCGATTGCTCATTCCAGCACTGTAGTGAGTAATGATAGAAAACATAATCTCTTTACTTCGAGTGATCCCCACCATCACATGTCAATCATTTGTTTTATTTTGCTTTCATGCATGATGGGGAGCATGTTGCCATGGCCGTGAGTTTTGTGGTTTTGGATTTTGCCGGTGGGCCCTCGGGCTTGAAAATGTCATTTCAATATTACTGTTACGGGGTTCGCGTCGGGGTGTCGCCAGGGTCTCTTGCCACGCAACATACCCCAAACACAGGCAAATCTAGTGTGGTGGCTGTGTGTTTGTGGTTGTGTTTTGTGTGTGGTTGTGTCGTTGTGGTTGTGTGTTTGTGGCTGCGGAAGGACAAAGGACGAACGAAGGAAGGGCAGGAAGAACGGACGGAGGGAGGTGGGGAGGGAAGGAGGGAGGGAAGGAGGGAAGGAGAAGACTATCTTCAACACTCTAACAACCCACTCCTGATAAGTGGCGCATTACTCATTCCACAATTGCAGTGACCTTTGGGTGCTTCAACAGAGGTCAATTGCCCCATCCCTGAACTGATTCCCAGGTCCTTTTGGGGTGACATCTGGACGGTGTTTTCAGGGTTTTAAGGTTCGAAGACGTGGAAACTCGATTCGTTCGGACCAAAAGCGCAAACACCATGACTCTGCAGGGGTGTTTGATAGTACTTCATGTCGACTCCTGATTCATCAACACCCCAAACATGGATCGTCAAACCTCTTTCGAGGTCGCATCACCTGATGGTGGATGGGGTCCTGTCCAACAGTTAGAAAAGTCGGGACCACTGGACAACAAAATTATGACACTGCTGGCAAGTGTTGATATTCATTGTATATATGTATAATTTTGGGTCCATGCAACTTCATAGAGATATAAACATTAAACACATTGTCCGAAGCTTGGCAGCCAACAGCAAAGCGCCGCCCACACCAAAACACATAGAACCCCTTTTGCCGCTGGAGCACACCGACACCGGCCCAGCGCCGAGTGGCCGTTGGAGGATGGGTTGGAGACCTGCCTCTCCAGAGCGGCGGTGCGGTCCTTCTCCTCCAACATGAGCCTGCCCCCGTCGCTCCCGTCGCGTGCGCTCTCCGTGCGCGGCGAAGAACGCCGGAGCCACTTGCGGCCCCCCCAGGGTCCAAGGGATCGTCCGGGTGGAGTGAGGTGAGACACTCTGAAAACGGGATGGCTGTGGTGGCAAGGCAAAAAAGATCACAAGAAATGTAGGTCATCAGCCCTGCATGTAAAGCTTGAGGTCCCCAGTCCCCAATATGCCAATAACACATCTACCACAAATCAACACTGTACATATGTGTCACCATCTGAGGGTCCGTCCAAGGTACGTACCTACTTGGGCCCATGGGCTTTGCGTACAGTGTCTCACCCCACATTCATTCGAATTGTGCAAGGAGCGAGTTTCGGTGTTTGCGCCACCCCGATCGCCCTCGCTGAATCCGCACGATCAGCCTTTGTCGCTCCAACTCGCATTCCTGGTACGCGAGTTGGGTTGGTCGGACGTTCTTCGGGTGGGAGACCTATTGAAATTATATACATATATGTAATATTGTATATATACCTAGAACCTGATAATCAGACCATGTACCTAGAACTCTTATATATACATATATACCTAGAACCTCATTGACATGGTCTTTTCCTATCAAAAAGCATGTCAAAAGGGTTCTAGGATTCTAGGTATGTAGTATATAGTTGAATGGGGAGACCCCCAGCCAATAGGTAGACTGGTCCGTCCTTGTTCGATCTTTGGGATGTGTTCCTATCTACAATACACACTCATATGTAGATGCAATGTATACTAGAGTCTATGATACATAGTGCACTACCATTGTCTCGTCTCATCCTGCATAGAACTGTCCTTAGAACACACAATCCGAAGCACCACGCCAAAAAACTAGCCTGCTTAGGGCAACATTGGCCCTCACAGTACACGCCTTGTTTCAACCTTTTAACTGACCACAGCACTTAACATGGGTGTGCCATTGTTTTAGCATGTTTTAGCCCACTTGGATCTGAGTGAACAGCAGCCCCTGTTGCTCTTCCACAAGCCTGGTGGATCATGGTAATATCACAAGCTCTTCAACAAGCCTGATCATAGTCCCTGACAAGACCCGGGTATTGTATGGTATATTCAACCACTGACCATGTCCGGCCGATGAACTCTCCGAACTCTCCACCCCAACTGCCCACCTCGTAGGCCGATTGGAAGCGAGAGCCCACGATCGCCTGGAGATCGGGCTCCACGGTCGGTAGAATCAGGTCTTCGATCTGCTTGGAAGAACAGCCGGAAGGCCCTCCGACAGGTCACCAAATTCAGACCTGTTAGGGTCCAACAACCCTCAACTAGCAGCCTGTTGGAGGGTGCTGGTATGTTTTCCTCAGTTTCTGTTTCCTCAGAACTTCCGTTTTGACATCTACTACGGCGGTATTTGGTAAAGGTATGCGAGGCCGGGCCCTATAGGGGTGAGTGTTTTTGAACTCTCAAGAGTCAGTTCACCAGGTCTTCTGAACCAATGACCACTGTGGCAATCACTGTGGCAGCCATGCGTTTTTGCACACTATCACCAAGCAAAGGATTCGGGCCGAACGGGGTCTCGTTTCCTAGGTTGGAATTTGGATTGAGGTCAGTGATTCGTGGTGAATTTGAACGGGACACACACACACACACACACACTCACACCTCCAGTTTCAAATCAATATCTCTCATGGATTTGGAGCCTCCATCCTGGACCCCAAAACGACCGAAGAGAGGCCATTCTCAGCATCCTCCGGCTTCGCTGGGACGTCCGCTCGACCCGGTCGCCGCTCGGTGCGGTCGGTGCGTCGTTCGCTCGTTCTGGGCATCTCCGGCCACGGGGAGGGAGATCAGCACGATGCCCGAAAGGATCGTCAGGGCCCCAATCTGTGGCCGGATGGGTGGAGGGTGAGGACGCTACGAGCTAGGGGCTCCCAGCATCGCTACGAACGGAGCAAGGCCGCTACGAATTATAGGCTCCTTGTGGGTGGAATAGGGTGAACAAGCGTGAATTCTAAGAAGGCGAGAGTGACAGACCTGAACATTTGGAAGTCCTGGATTGCTAGTTCCAGGTATAAAGTTGCATGTTAAAAAATATAGCTTTCAAAGGTCAGGTGATATAGGTCATGATATGTCATCATACTGCCACTTACTGTACATGTTGAGGCTGCATCAAGGAAGGTCGTTGGAAGGCCAGGTCGATGGCTCCTCCACCCGAAACAAATTGAACAGAACGAGGCATACTATCGCGGCTGAACCCATGCAGCCGCCAGTGATGCTTTGTCTCGTGTTAGTGCTCACATGGAAATGGAGTTCACCACCTGCTTGGTATTCAGAAAATTGGTCATCCTTTCTGGGCCATGCCATCCACCGTGTAATGAATATTTTCAGTGAAAAGAAGTCTCTTTTGGGTTGCCTGGCTGGAACGGCCCCGCACCGGCCCTGAGCATCCACACGAACTGCCCAAGCTTGGTCGCTGGAACCTCGTTTCGGGCCACGCCACTGCCACGACAGCCCCGAGCCGAAAGACACCCAACAGAGGTGTTTTGTGACCTACAAAAGACTAGATCATTCTAGATATCACTAGACGATCAAACTAGCAATATCTAGCGCTTGTTCCATTGGGAATCATTGGGATCCACATAGGTCAGGGGGGATGAAACATTGTAAAAGGGGGGGCGTGCAGTCCCCCTATCCCTATCAATACTTTCCCTACTACCTGGGGTACCTATGGGATGCTCAAAAGGGTTCTTCAACCTCTGTTGGCAGATTATGATGGTTTGACACCGCTCTGATGAAGCTTTTTGGACACTTTCCGGATGTTAAAGCCATTTGTTTGTTTGAACAATTGGAATTGGGAAGCTGGGGGATGCACGGGGTGCCTTTGGTCCTTTGATGATTAGACTAGCAAGCAATGTATTCCAATGCTTTCCGCACTGGGGAGAAGTTGGCTTGTGACCGTATTCCCTCCTCTGTTAGCCCATGAAAACCCTTTGAATACCCCCAGGAAGGGTTATGATCGGTTATGTGTAGTCTCGGAAAGGACAACATACTATAGCCCATCAGCATGATTTTTTTTTTTTTGGTGTTCACTGAAGATGGGAGTTGCGACCGTCAACTGACGATCTTTGCTACAGTTCAGTGGGTCTTCTATGTTTACTTTTTGTGTGTGCTCATTTGCTCAGCAAACTTCCCATTTCATAAATGACATCCAAGCGATCTGACAGACCCTTGCGAGTGGAGCTTCTTGAACATACGTAGGCTTAGGGGAAATGTAATCTGGCACTCTCCCACACAGTGTAGAGGCTTATTGTGTGAGATGCCGTTTCCCGTGCGTCACTGAGTGTTCCGTCCCTGTCATCCCCTTTTGCCCCCATTTGAACCACCAAAGTGCACAGACATCTCGGGTCAAATTTGCGGGGTACAGTCATGCGTGAGCAACAAGTCGGTGTGCCACATCCTGGTTTAAGCCTAGTTAATGTAGAATCTTGAGTCATAAAGCCCCCCATATGAAGAGATCCTGGAAGACTCATCACTGTCAACAAGACTCGTCCCTCGTCAGAAGACCCCCGAAGACTTCCAAACTATGACAAGGCGGAGCCAACCAGCCATGCATTTTTTGACTGTGGGTGTAATTCACCGTGACCAGTGAATCAAAGCAAACACATGACACGAAGTTGAATTTAGTGTATATTAGTTTCCATATTATACATTTTATGTTTTGCCTTTCTTTTGAAACAATCTGGCAATAATATGCAGTCCTCCTTCTCCCGAAGGCTCGCGGATGCAACACAGAATGCCTCAACCGCGCCTTGTCTCCATACCCCACTGTGGTCATAGTGACTACACACCTGAGTTTGCTTTTCAGCAGCTACCGACCGGCTGTCCACCTAACTAATGCTATACTGTACTTGAAACATCAGGGGTCAAGCTCATCATTGTGAAGTCGGGTGTGCATTGACATAGGGAGACCTCCCAGTTCGACCCCCTGGAAGAGAAAGAACGTAGACCAGTTTACACATTGGTTGGGTGTCTCCTATTATACACATCCATATTGAGGTGTTGAGACAAACCCAGCTTTCAGTATCCAATTGAATCGGGACCACCAGTTCTCTTCGGAAGCGCGCACCATGTGAGGCATACACTCCGTGATGCTCCGTTGTATCAACGTGTGAGAACATACCTCTTCTAGGCTACCTACACTCCCAACGTTAAATGACAATATATGGTACAACATGATCCTGAGGACCTAGCGAAAAGAGCTACAGTCGACAGTACTAAGCTACAGTACTTTAAGGCCCAAGGCCCTGGGGTTTGGATGCAAACAAACATATCCAACTCTGTTAGTAGAGTGAGATTGTTAGATCCAGAAGCCTAGTGGGCCTAGTAATATCAGGTCACTTCCATCGCAAGAAGTTGTTGATACTGACTTCTGTGCAGGCAACAAGACCGTGCACAACGACTCAAACCCTGGCGCAGCGACGACATCAGAACCTCATTCAAATCATCTGCAAAAGGGACATCTTGAACAAACTGGCCTTACCATATGAATCTTTGAAGCACTTCTTCACTGCGATGTCCTATCTTTGAGTCTACAATCGACTGTACAATATATACCAGGACCCTCCAAGGGGTGCCCTGTCTGGAAGCCTATAGGTAGTTCAGCCAGGACACCCAAACAGGATGATCCTGGTAGATGATTACTCAACATCCAGTTTTAAGGGGACCATGTCTTTTCAACCTCCAACTCGTTGCGACCCACCAGGTCTCCCCACCACCAGGTGGCATCCTGGCGCTCGAGCTCCGGCTTGCCCGAGCTCCGGACTCCGAAGTCCGGTGTTCAACCCACGCGGGGTTCTCCCCAGTTTGGGGGGATGATATACCGGTATACCTTTAGCCTTTAGGGGAAAGAAAACAACTTATATAGGACATCTATAGCAGTACGTATATCAGCAAAAACCCAAGAACACAATGTCAATGTCCTCACCAAACTCACAAACATGGTGAACGTCTCTATCGGATTTGTCACGCATCTTCACCATTTGTTGGAGTTTCAAGATCGCTGCTGAAAACACTGCTTCACAAGCTCCACTGGTGATCAGGGCACAAATGCTTGTATGCACCTTATGAAGACCATGGTGGATGTTGCAAGGAAGCTAGGTGGAAAAGAGTGGTGGATGATGGAGGGAGCCTTTGTCAGGAACCATTTCATACAAGTAGAGAGCAGGTGTGCTGGTCCACGAAACCGCCAAAACCAGTGGCAGAAACCACGGGAGTACCACCTGTGGTTGACCTGCGAGACCGGGTCAGCTTGGATTGGCCTTCCTTGGGCGAAATGAGTTGGGAGAGGACTGTTCGGAGGCACTACTCCAGGAAAAGGGGTCAACTGATCGTATAGACACCATACACCATACATGGAGTGGCCATTTGGAACACCAAGAGCCTCGGTTCGGGACCGTTGGATGAACCCGTCCGGAGAGATCCAAAACGACCAACCCTAGGCCCTAGTAATTAAAAGAAAATCATGTGATGTTACATAAGCACCACCCTCAGTCACACACCAGCTTTTTATGTGTACAGTGTACACTTATAGACTCCTGTTTCATCGTGTGTCTCTTCTTCGAAACCAATGGCTGTTTGGGGTCAACACATGTCGATGTTGGACTCCCCAAGCCGAACAGCCAGGCCGCCTTGACATTCTTTCAGTCTACCCTGCTCTCCTGCTCTCCGGCTCGTGCAGCACTCGTTCATTGTCCGCACTCGCCCCACGTCCCTCGCCCCGCGGAGCGCACCATGATCGAGCGGAATTCCCAGGCGGCGCCCCACTCGTCGCAGCAGCGTCGGCCGCGGGCATCCTCGGGCGGAGGCTGCCACACCATGTTTTAATCTTTTTGTGGAAGACAACAAAGATGTCGTGCTTACTAACGTCTTCAACCATGTTCTCCCAAAGTGAGGTATTGTGAGGTTGAGCAACATGAAGAATGTTATACTTCAGAGCTGGCCGCGATCCGTGATCTGTGGGATCTACTACTATAGAGTTGAAGGTACACCCCCCCCGACTTTATACCCTCAGGGACTGCTCACCCCTCCGACAGAAAGTTCAAGGAGAATCTCTTTCATAGTGGAAGGCCAAATCGCATCTCTTGTTGATTTGACCGCAACAAACAACCAACGCTGGAAGGACAAAACCTTGACCGGGTACTACGGTACTACCACCAAATTCTGGGAGATGCCTGCAAGAACAAAATACATGCTCCAGCTCAACCTGTTAGCATGCGTCCTGCAAAAAGAGCGAAGATTTGTTGAGTCTGTGTTATCTGTGTTGCAGTGTTGCCCTTGAAAACATACAACAGTGCGTGCAGTTGAGCAGCTAGCCCCCCATGCTGACTGCAAAGGGAAATTTAGCAGCCTCAGACCTCATCTTTTTTTGTACCCCGATGGCATACTGAGCCGCGTCACTGCATCCTCCCCTTTCCCCCCAAAAGAACAAGTAAACAATAAACTAGTAATTATTGCACTCCCAGAAGCTAACATGGATCCTGAGAATGGCACCCTGAAAGACAGATTCCTTCTACAAACAAGTGGCATGTTAGTCTGCAGCAGGGTAATGCATGAGAACAAAACAAACGTGTCCAAAACATACCCCATGGTGGTCGTTTGGCAAACAATCAAGACCAAACCACTACTAAACCAGATTGTTTGGGTCACATCTTGGCTAGCGTTTCTTGTGCTGTCCACGTCTGTGAATCGATCTGTTTTCTTCTCCAGAAAACTCCTCCGGTCTGGTCTGAGTGCCCGCCGGTCATGGTTGTTCAGCCCAACCGATATGCCCAACTGGGTGTGCCGGACAAAATAAGACAGCCGACATTCCTGGATCGGGAAGCATGACACGGGCCAAGCGAGCAGGTCTTCCAGTCAGGAGTGGGTGAGTGGGTCAACAGGAAAAAGGCCATCCTGAGCTGGGCTGTTCTACATGTGTTCAAAGCTAATCAGCTTATAGATCTTATAGTTGAGAGCTTAAGCACACACATAAACACCTTGACCCTTCCACTCCCAGTTAATCATATCATGCTTTATCTAATATGAGGGTGATGAGATCGGAAAACTTGGGCAGCTTCCGCAGTGTTTTGGATGGCCCTTATACATTGAGGCATCCTTGATCTGCGATTTCACTCTTCATTTGACACGAGTCGGAGACTGTTCCAAAAAGAACTGGACACACCTGTTGGAGGGTCCAGGACACACCTGTTGTGTCCGGGTCCAGGCAGGGCCACCATCCGACTTCAGCCGCCGTCATCTGACGGCCGTTCAGGCGGTCACGGAGCTCATCTGTATCGATGGTCACATGGGTGATCTATCTTGAAATCAGCCAACAACCGGGTTTGGGTCATCCCCTGGTGAATTCCCGCCCAGCCTGGGGTCGCAATTACTGTATTGTATATATATATATATAATTGTATAAGGAACCTTTGAGGTTGGGTAGCTCAACCGTCGGAAAGTGACTCTCGAAGTTCACGATCGCAAGTGAAAAACCGCTCTCAAAAGCAGCCGCGGACTTTTCGCGGACTCGTGGCCATCAGGCTTCAAGGTGCGCATGCCCTCCCAGCTATCGGGAGGAAAACAGGTGGTTCGAGCAACAAAGCGGCGAAGCTTCGGCTTCGTCCACGAACCTCAGTGAACCTGTGCAGCAGCGAAAACATGTGATGGCATCACATTCACACCGGTCAAAGGTGGTGTGTCAAGTGGTTGCTGCTGCTTCGGCCTCCTGCTCTTCGTACAGGTCTTGGCCAAGGTCGTGGGCGCATACCCTGCAAGGCACGAGGGTGTGCGTCACATTCGCTGTGCGCTGGCTCGCACATTGCTGACTTGCATGCCAGCTACTTCCATAGTTGGTGTGGAAGATGTTGGCATTTATGGCAAATCTCAGGCGGTTGCGGGCTCTGACTCGGACTTCTTCTTTGTACCGAGTCCTCATGGTCTCTGCTTGCAGCTCGTAGTTTTCCCGTTGTCGACGGAAGTCCTTTTGGAAGCAGGTTTGTTGGTCTTGTAGTCGTTGTTCAGCCTGCTGGAGCTGTGCTTGTAGGTGAGTGTTCTGTGCCTCGAGTTGTTTTATCTGTCTCCTGAGGGAGATGAGTGTCTCTGGCTCGACACGTGTTGTCTGGGTGCTCTGGTCGTTCTGTTTGTTGTCGCTGCCGGTGTGTTCTTCTGGAGGCGGCACATCCTCATCTGTTCTGGGGGGCTGCTGTGGCTTGTTTGCCACTCGGGTGCAGAGGTGCCATATCAGGTTGGCGAGCATCGCAACCATCAGGGTGAAACCTGTAAGGAAGATGAAGTTTTGGTTGTCCATCAGGTGGTCTTGGAAGTTGTCTGTGTGTTCAATGGAGTGCGCAGTGGTTGTGGTAGCTAGAGAGGCGAACATAGCCATTTGGGCCAGTGGCTTGGTGAGCGCGTAGCGCATCTGGCTTTGTCTTCGGCTTTCCAAGGTCTTTTTCTTGGATGCTGTGAAGTTAGGATCCGGCTTCAGGCATGTTGTGTGGCTTCGTAGTCTTTGTGCTAGCAAGCTTGCTGCACTCTGTTTTGTCATGCCGTCTGCGAACTGTAGTTCGCTTGAGACCCAGGAGACGGTCGCTCCTGTGCAGGACAATTTGTCCCGTGTCACTAGCACTTCGATGCTAGTCTGTTTGTCTGTTTGGGATGCTGTCTGTAGGTCCTGTTTGACCAGCAGGTCGTACAGAGCCTTGGCGTCGATGATGAGCCGTGGCGAGTGCTTCACCTTTGGTGTGTTGCTGTCTTCTAGGGCTAGATATGGTGACCATATCAGTTTCCAGAAGGTGGAAGCATACAGTAGTGCATCTGCTGCTTCTGAGGCTGCCTGGCTTTCGGCTGCCAAGCTGGATCGGGCGATCCTTGGGAGTTTCCATGATCTCCAGTCGATCAGGTGGTAGCCTCCTTCTGAGCCTGTTGTGACTGAGTGGTGTGTCATCATCACCAAGTGACCTCCTTGTGAAGTCAGGTCTGCTCTTGAGGCGAATGCAGCGTCGCTGTAAACGATGAATGTCATCTCTTCTGGCTTGCCCAGCTTTTGGAATCGTAGACCCACATCTGAGTATTGTTGGGCGTATCGTAGGCATTTGTTGGCTTCTCGAAGAGTCGAGATGTTGGCGCGACTCACCTGTCCGGCTAGCATGCTGGTCATGGCTTGGACATGAGGGCTGCTCTGAGTCGAGGGCCATTGGAGTGCTCCGACAATGCCTCGCAACATTGTGCGTTGTTTCTCTGTCACTGGTTGGTCGTTGGGTCCATCTTCAATGGTGATGGGCTTCTGTTTTGCCATGTAGGCGGTGTGTTGTAGTTCATAATGATGTTCGTTGATCCTTTGGATCTTTGCCCCACAGTACTCTATGTCTGTGTTTTGTTCCCATGTCCGGAAGTTGAAGGTCTTCCGCAGGGATGCAATGAACTTTGCACAGTATAGCTGTTGCTTGTCGGCACATCCAAGGATGTCGTCAACGTGCAATCCGAAGATTCCGACCAGTGGTGGATGTTTCACTGTGTTGCCATTGTCATCGGTCTGGTGTGTCCAGGAATCTTCTCCTGCCTCATGATCATGGATCAGGAAGAGGCATGGATCCAGTGGGTGGACTGTGGCTCCCAGGCGCGTGATGCGCTCTCGTGCTTCACTGTACCATGCTCGAGGAGCATCGCATAAGCCGTACATAGGCTTTTTGAGCTTCATGAGGGCGTTGTCGCCATCGGTGCCAGTGAGGCCGAGGAGTCGTCTGGCGTCTGGTGGCAATTTGATCCATAGTGTGCGATGGCTAGGATGTTCCTTGCCTTGGAGGAATGCTGTGCTGACATCTGCGCTGAAGCTTGTCCAACCATTGTTGGCGCAGATTGAGAGGATGTAGTTTCGTCCCATCCGACTCAGCGTTGGAGCGTCGGTGCTGAGTTGGCCATTTAAGGCATCGGGATCTTTGAATCCCTGGGTGATGAGCCTTGCTTTTGCTCTGGGTTCACCGTTTGGCCATTTTGTCCACTTCAGGATGAAGTGTGCTTTGAGAATTCGGTCGCTAGGGACCGTGCCGTTGTCTTTGACCATTTCCCACACGTCGTTCTGGAAGAAACTTTCCAGTTCTTTCTTCTTTGCCTCCATGAAGGCGAGGCGATCAGCGAGCGTCATTCTTCGCTCGTTGAGCTGATCCTTGCGGGCTTTGATGCCCGGCATGCTGTGGCCTGGTGCGCCTGTTTCTTCGGCTGTGTGTGCCTGTTCGGTGGTAGGCTCGACATATGTCTGGTGGCCATGGCTGACATTGTAGAAAGCTTCACGAGCGAGCAGGCGATAGGCCGGCATGATTTTGAAGCTCGTCTGTCCTGTCCAGGCATGTTCCGTGGTTATGTTGCCCTTCTTCTTCCATCTGTCGCACTTGTTGAGGTTGGCTGAACCGGTTGTGTGTCGGTCTTTGCTGAGGTAGTGCAAAGGCAAAGGGCATCCAGCTGTTTCGTCGGCTGGGTCAAAGAGCTGGTTCCGTGGGATGTAGTGGCGACGTATCAGCTTGTTGTTCTGAATTGTCCATTCGTCCTTGCAGACGTCCAGGGTCAAGAATCCATTTTCTAACTTCCAGCCTGGTGGCAATGTTGAGTCATCGACTCTGTTGAGATCAGTGTCGTAGGTGCTGAGGGTCAGTGCGATCCGGTGGTGCCGGTTTGGCGTATGGTGTGGGACCTCGTGCAGTGCTGTGAGCTCTTGCTTGTGGTCCATATCGGTCGTGTCCAGGTGCGGGTGTGGCTGGAGAGAGAGTGTCTCTTGTCGATCAAATCGTGTTCTCTGGTCGCGGAAGCTCTCTGTTAGTGCTGGTGGTGCATAAAGATGCTGCTGATGTTCTGGAATTTGTCCACCATCATAGTGTACACTTGCCGTGGTGGTATGTGGTGTTGGTGCACTACGTGTGCTCGGTGGTGGTTCTGGTTCACCAGTACTGTCCTGTTCTGTGATCTCTGTAATGTTCAGATCAACTGTTGGTGCTCCTGGTGGTGCCCCTTGGCGTGACTGTTCATGAGCTGTTGTTGTGTCGGTCTGTGGTTCATCTCCAGGTGCATGTCCATCTCCATCCTCATCCATCGGTGTTGGAGTGGTAGTGGGAACATTCGGTGGACTGCTGCTGGAACCGCTATGTCGGTCTGTTCTCAGGACAAAGGTGGTACTTCCTGTCCATCGGAATGGCATGGATCTGGTGGCATTTGGTAGTGTCCAGTCATCTTGGAAGACTGTTCTGTTTCGGGCCGGTTGATGTGGCCTCTTGATGACGGTTCTCCGGATGTCCTGGAAGTTCTGCCACGGTGCTGTGTCGTCATTGTTTGGAGTGTAAAGTGCCTGTCTTGGACTCACATGGATGCGGTGCCATGTGATACCATCTTCTTCGATGTCCCAGTAGCCCTGCTGGGCTGGTTGTGGATCTGGTGCCATTGCTTCGGTGTCTGGTGCTTCTGGCATTTCTTCCTCATCGTCAGTGACAATCTCTGTTCGTTTC